AAAATCAAGCATTTTTTGTGATGATCATTAAACGTCATACGGATATCATGGATTTTTTTATCCTACGGAGTCAAATCCTGTGGCTCACTTCGAATGAGAGCAACAACCACATAATTAAGCCATATAAATTGTGTTAAATATATCATTGACATATTTATTTCTACTAATTGGATTAACGCTATTATATTGGTAACATTTTCTCTATTGAGGGACAAATAAAAAAATAACTAAAATATATAAAATTTCCCCGTAAAAAATAGCAAACTTTATAGTAATTATCCCAAATTTTAGTACAATTATCCCTGAACTTGCAAAACAAGTAACCAAACTTTTAATTTTGATAATTTCCCTCCCAACTGCTTAACTGTTGCAATTAGATACATTTTACTAACAAACAACTATTAATTAGATCAGGGAAATAGACATGTGCACCTCGTGTGTGGAGTTTTTAAGGCCTCATTTATTTCACTAATTTGAGTTTTCAATTCTAATTTTGCTACAGTTAAAAGCTCTTATAAAAAGTCACATCTATATATAACTTATATGCTACAGTGAAAAGCTCTCACATAAAAAAAAGTAAAGAGTATTTCTACACACGTGACATGATTGTGCTAGCAACTACAACCACACCACCATGTCAGTGAAAATTACTCCTCTTTTTTCTCTGATATATAATTATAATATGAATAGTATTAGGGAAACTAACTCTAAGCCCAATTGTTATACCAACTTTAAATTTTCCTTTTTTTTAATTAGTAAGTGTTTAAAAGATTGTTAAATCAATTATTTGTATTTTCCAATTAAAAGATAACTTACATTGGTAAAATAAAAGTTTGTACGGCTTTGTATTACCGCTCTTATAGAGAATAAGGAAAACTCTTCTTGTTCTAACATGGATTTATTCCTATAGACACAAAGAGGTAGACTCCACATAGTGGGACTCACGTGAATCCTATAAGTGGGGCTCACTTTTGTGTCTGATGAGCATAAATTCCATCGAGACAAATATGACTGCTCAAAGAATAACCACTTACAGATTACATGTGAGAATCGTGAGCTCGAAAGTTTCCATCACTTCAACATAGTTTCCATCACTTCCATTATTGCTCTAATAAGCTCACTAATAAGTTTAAACTGAACCACTGTCTGCCGTCATCTTTGCTGCAGCACTGAAGACTGAGTAAAGAAAGGAACTCGTTTTAGGGTTGCCATGGATCTGGCAAGCTCTTCATCGGGTTCCGTTGATTGGTAACTCTGAGCCAGCAGCCAAAACTCTCCGAACTCCATGGCAAATGCTGCTAATGTCAACAGTGCCATTTCGTTGAAATTGTAAGTCGACACCAGGTTAAAAATTGACTTTATTGTTTCATGTGCTATTTCTGGTCCACTTTCATTCTTTCATAACTTGATCTGAGTAGACAATATCAAGATAAATTTCTTATTATGTTTGTACCACATCGAATTTTACTCTGGGTATATAAATGGGAAATTAAAGTGTAAAAAAGAATAATAATTTCCTTTCTCGTTTAATCAGGTCTCTACTTATAAAATTAGTTGCGAAAGTTTACTGGGCCTCAAATATAGAAATGAAAAAAGAAAATGTCAATTCATGCATCCATTTAAAGAGGGGTTTCTAAAATGAATGTTGGCAGCAATCCCTAAGTCATCGTTTTCACACCTCTTTTTTAGGCCAATAACGGTGCGAATTCAGTTGAGAGGTGCTTTAATTCTTTTGTTGTCCTCTCTCTTTATTTGTAAGAAAAAAATAAAATGATACGTAAATACAAGAAAGATAATTAATGAATTGCGTTCGTTTTTAATTTATTTACTTTTTTTTAATCCTAATATTACATTTCTTGTTAAATTCCTTTACATACTAAAAGCAACTAATTACAATTAAGAAGTAGATGTTGTTATTAATGCCATGAAAATATACACTTTAGTACATATTGTATGTATGTATGTATGTATGTATGTATGTATGTATGTATGTATGTATAGGGTAAGCAATATTGACCTCACACTGAATTTCCTTGAGTTTGCACATGAAGTTAGTATTATTGTTAAGCGCGGGGATCATCTCCTGATCTTTTGTTCCACGTAATGTGGTTGGCCAGCCTAAAGTCAATTAATACAGCCAATTATACCTTTGTTAAATAACAATATATAAAAGTCTCAAAAGAAATTAAGGAATGGAAAAATATCTATAAATAAAAGGACCTCTTTATTAAGGTATTACATATCTACACAACGATATATATATATATATATATATATATATATATAATACCTGCACAATTTCTTCAACAATTCGAGTTGACCGCTTGAGGATGTTTTGGGCGATAATGAACAGAGAAGTGTGATCAAAATTTTGGTCATCAGCAACATAAATACGTTTACAGGAAAATAATTGGTTGGTGTTATCTTTGTCGTTAGCAACATAAATACGTTTACAGGAAATATTGAAACGACACTCATAGTTATTTGCACCAAAATTTCTACGCTATTTGAGACAGAAAATGAATGGAGGAAAGGATGGAAGAAGTGGTTCCTGTTTGTGGAAGCTCCATTAGCAGGGGCTGCCCTATTTATTGATAAAGTCAATGATGACTCACTTCTCAAAAATAACAAAGATTCTAGCACTAATAGAGGTAATGACAATATGAAAAAGGAGCAACCAGATTACTACTCCAAACGGACAAAAAATCCCATGATATATGCAAAGCCGTTGGAAACAAACATGACAATTTGTTATGCCATTTCAAAAGGATTACCTATTAAATAAAAATCATTTCCTAGGAGTTATTTAGCATATTACCGTTGCCTTTTATTGTATAAATATACATGTCCATACATCTTGCTGGACAATGAAAAGAGTGAATAAATTCAATTTTCTATTCATTGCTTTTTCTCATTCCTTCTCTATATTCCCTTTACAATAAAATTCTTTATCCATATGAGTCCATTGTTAAAGGATTAATGAGCTCGAAAGCAAGAATCAAGATCTGCTGTCTTATTTTTCTATCTCATTAGATATCCCTCCATTTAAATTTTAATATCTCATGAATTGTTTAAATATTTAGTATTTAGTTCTAGTTCTTGTTCATGTTGATCAAATTGTTAAATTTAGATACATGTTAAATAAGATGTGGAATGACAACTAATGAAATTTGAATGAATAAACTAATCAGAATCTAGATAAACTAATTGCCTAATATATTAAATGCATGGGATTCTACCTTAAAAGGTCGACCTGCTAATTGGCCTGCCAAGTAGCTATAGCGGATGAGATTCTGGTTTGAAAAAACTTTTTTCTTCTTGAAAAAGCAAAAAATTTATAAAAATAAAAATAAAAAGAATTAAAATGAAGTTCATGCAAAAATTTCCTCTTAACGGAAAATCAGCAGTCCTCTGATTAACTTTTGACAGGTAATAATTTGCATCAAAATAAGTTTCGGAGTAAAATAAATGAAAGTTTTTTTTAAAAAAATTATTATTTACAGTTCTGATCATTATATCTTCTTTTTCAATATATTATCTAAGATGTTCATACTTTTTTTTGTTAAACATTATTATTCTCTCTTTTTCTTTCTTTTTTTTCTTTCATACTCTTCCTCTCCTATGCGTTTGGATGAAGAAAAGATTGGAAGAGTGCAAAAAGTACAAAGCATCAAAGAGTGATTGCCCTGTTTTTACACCTTTTCTTTCCAAATGAATTGGTAAAATTCTTTTTTCTTTTTTTTTTTTTTTCTTTTGAAGCAAAACGATATCTTTTTTTTTTTTTTTTGAAGCAAAACTATCTTTCTTACTCGTTTTTTTTTTTTTTTTTTTTTTTTTTTTGGAGAATTTGCGATTATTATAGCCAAGAGTTGATTTATTATTTCTTCAAATTAACACTTTTGGAACTAAAGAAGCAGAAATTAAAAAGTGAAGAACTGATGGTAGCACTTCATTAACATTCCACCAAAAAGAGTTATATATCAACTTCAAATAAGAAAAAAAAAAAAACTTACTAATTACAGTAATGGCTTAATCTTTAATTGAACCGAGAGAGAGAGAGAGAGAGAGAGAGAAGAAGAAGAAAAAGAAGAAGAAGATTGTTGGTCTTGCTGTATATTGGTCGTTGTCTTTATAGAATTTGCTGAAAGACAAGGGAAAACAAAAAAACAAACAACAAACGATCATGGCCCAAGGATATATTAGATGCATACCAATATGCCACCGATTTTAAGCATCAGGTCTCCACTAAAATAGGGACCACAAAATTGGACTCCGAAGTTTGGAACTCATTTAATCGGTGTTCTATTAAATAGGTAAATTAGTTGGATATATATTTATATTTTTGGCTTGGAAGATTTGACACGGTAGAATTGCTGCGGAAGATAATTTGTAGTGCTGCATTTTCTATTGCCTCTTGTTGTGTTTCTGCTATTATAATAATGCAGCTAGGTCAATTAATCTTCATCTTTTCTTACAATATCGTACGCAATTAATTTGGAGAAGGATTCGAGATTTCTTTGACGCCACGTTTGGGTGCATCTTTGGAAATTTGCAGTTTAGCAGTTTATTTAATCGGCAAGTGCACAACGAATTTAGTGGGCACATCACGTATTTTCAGCTAGCCACAAAAAATGACTATTTAGGCACTGCTTAAAAATTACTCCAATGGAAAAAAATAAATAAATAAATAAAAAATAAAAAATAAACACACACACGCACAACAACCAAACAAACAAAAATTCTGTAACTAATTAATTATTCTTTTTAATTCTGATGATTTAAAACTAATTAGTCTCATACTAAACTTCAAAACGTAACACCACATAAACTAGCAGCACAAACTAGCAGACCCAAACCAAAACCTAAATCACCCAAACAACCAAATAAAACTTAAGACAAACCCAAATAACTGCAAATCAAGCACCAAATTGAAATAACACTATAAAACCAAACTCCAACGATCCCCTAAGGCTAAGGAAAACAAATTAATTAGCTATAAGCTAAATGGACTGCGGCGACGGAGGCGGCAGTGGCGGAGAAGAGGCAGAACCCCGGGCTTCTCCGAGGCAGTAGCCTTGGAGAACATCAGTCTCTTCAGTGGTAAACCCTAGGGAGCAAAACATGGCAGGCCAGCAGTGTTGTCCAATGGTCCTGATGGCTTCACAACAGCTAGGGCCCAAGTAGGTCTCGCCATTGAGGAAGAACAGAATGACCTCTCCAGTGCATGCTTGAAGCTGGATCAAAGAGTCCCAACAGTTGGATGATTCCTCCTCCAGTTTTAACCTCGCCGCGAGGTTCGATACACTCGCCGTCGTCGGAATTGAAGCTCCAGGCCTTGCCATGGTTACTGCTGGAATACTGGCCAGAGCTAAAAGCGTTGAGAAAAGGAAGAGATTGATCAGAGTAGTGTAAGCCATTTTTCTTTGTTTAAAAACAAAATTAGAAGTAGTATAGCTTGGTTTGGTAGTGATTAAGCTAGTGTTTAATATATATAGAGAATGAAAACAAACGTTACCTGCATGGGAAAGTGAAGAGGATACATAGACGCAAATTAATAAGAATAAGTGTATGGTGAAGGTTATGAGAAAGTGAAGAGACAAAGTCAGTAGTTTTATATACGCAAGTAAATACTAATTAGTAGAGGATTTTCTATAATTAAGGAGTTTCATGATAATTAAATTTGCACTTTTAATGGGCTACTAAAATATGTAGACGTTACTCTATATTTATCATTCAGCCCATGTGTTTGCCTTTCCCATGTGTTTGCCTTTCTTAAAAATAATTATTATTATTATTATTATTATTATTATTATTATTATTATTATT